TCCTCCTTATCACCCTCCCTCCTCTTTCTCCCTCTCAACCACCCATCTATCTTCACTCACTCATCCACCTCCCTATCCACCTAACCTAACCACTAACACCCCCCCCACTATCTTGCTATATCAGTTAACATTAATGACTAACAATATGAATTTATTTTAGTCAATAAAGGCAAAAGGCACTAGATTTTTATGATTTTTGAGCGAGTTTAAAATGTTTTCAGAGAATCCAAAATCTCTCTCTCTCTCTCTCTCTCTCTCTCTCTCTTGTAGGTAGTGAGAGAAAAATTTTTAGTCATTAGTGAAGGTAAAAATTTCAGCAAAACTAAACCAACATTTTTTTTTTCTTTCTTTTAATACACAATTTCTCTCGTGAAAAATGTATACTAATATGATTTTTTTTTTTGTGTCAGTTCATAGAGAGTGTGTATGTGTGTGTGTGTGTATGTGTGTGTGTGTGTGTGTGTGTGTGTGTGTGTGTGGGGGTGTGTGTGTGTGTGTGTGTGTGTGTGAGAGAGAGAGAGAGAGAGAGAGAGAGAGAGAGAGAGAGAGAGAGAGAGAGAGAGAGAGAGAGAGAGAGAGAGAGAGAGAGAGACCATCACCTGTCAGGACAAAATATCTCGCTACTACCATCACTACTTTCACTACTACTACTACCACCTCACCATTTTTTTTTTATAATTGACCTCCAGCCTCCCCAATAGCCACACCTTCGCCACCATTTTATTACCTTTTAATATTACATCCTAACACATAAGTAGCTATCCCATCTGTGTTAAATTAGTTGAGCTGCAGGTCTATGCGGCATTCAGTGACTGTAGCCTCATAGTCAATATCTGCAACTGTTGTCGGCTTTGGGGCAGAAGCTCTCGTTCCCCTGAGGCAAAGCAAAGCCGACCGAAGGAGAGAGAAAGACAGTCGACATCTCAACCAGGCTTTAACATAACTTCTGGGCTGCTGCTTCTGTTCGGATATCACCTCCGCGAGTCTGGCGTAGAAACATCTTGCACTTGGTCCCATCCCACCAGAGGTTGTGAACACTAGAGGAGTGAAGCTGCCTTGATCAACGTTTTGAATTCTCTCTCCGTATGCCCTTATCTTGTCGTTCTCGTTCCTCCTGTGTGCCGCACCGAGAGCTAAGTTACCACCACCATTACGACTACCACCACCACTACTACTACTACTACTACCACCACCATTACCACTAACCATCACCTACCACCAACTACTAACACTGACTAAACCTACCACTACTGCCACCTACATCTACCACTACTACCACCACCACTACCACCACTACTATTACCGCCACCACTACTACTACCACCACCACTTACCACCAATTACTAACACTAACTAAACTTACCACTACTACCACCTACACCTACCATTACCACCATCTACTACCACTACCACCACAACTACCACCACTACTACTACCACCACATACACTGGAGCCAACAAGCCGGACGTGGTGGCTCCAGGTTGGAAGTGTGCCAACTAGCTTAAAGGGAGAATCACAAAGCCCTCACCATGGAGAGAGAGAGAGAGAGAGAGAGAGAGAGAGAGAGAGAGAGAGAGAGAGGCCATACACGATATCAAAATGATCCAGTATATAGGTAGTCTCTCTCTCTCTCTCTCTCTCTCTCTCTCTCTCTCTCTCCCACACTGGAGTGATATACGTGTTATTAATTCTGTCATTCAGTTTTTCCCATTACCATTAGTTACGGGTTAATGGTCGCCACCCAACACCGTGTATATATATAGTAATAGAAGCCAAAATATAATGGTACACATATAAATTTTTTTTAGAATAATAATGGGTTAAAGATGACAATAGTTTAAACACGATTTTAGATTAGAAAAAAATAACAGCTGAATTTTTAATGGTTTCATCTTTATGTTTTATAGAGTAAAATAATAATACAAATTTCCTAGTAGATATTAATATTAAACTTGTAATTAAAAGCTGAATATTTGTGGGTTTATACATTTTGTACAGTAAAGTTTTAAGAGACGCTGTATTTGGTTTGAGAATTTTGAGTGAAATGACTTTAGTGGTCCAGTGAAATTTGTATATCTGCTTTGTTGATTACGAAAAAGATTTTGAAAAGGCAAAGCAAAATAAACTTAAAGAGGTCTTGGGAAAAATAGGCATTAATGAAGGAGATATTGGGATTCTAGCAAGATCTATACTGGCAACAAGAGGCTGCAGTGTTAGACATAGGGAGTAAGACAAGGCTGTGTTCTGTGTCCAACATTGTATAATATATGTTCACAATTATTAATGAGAGAAGTTATAAGTGATAATGAAGGACTAAAAGTTAATGGTAAAGTAATATAGAATAAACGATATGTTGTTGATACTGTTCTTATCACAGATAGTGAAGAGGCATTACAAAAACTGGTTAACAGA